GGGGGGCACCGATCGGCACCCCATACACGCGGTCCGTCGGCTCTAAAGCCGGCGGATCGCTTGTATGGTATCAGGCATCGCTGCCTGTTTTTTAAAAACGGCCGCTCAGATCTAGAGAGCTCCGGGCCAGCCGTTTTTCTACTACGGCCGGCCCGGAGGCAGTTAAAGCAGAACTCTATACTTTTCTAACCACAACATAACACAGCCCTATCATAACTTACATGTTCTTATAAATACTGTATACTGTATATAAAATCATTTATACTTATAAATTGCATGCCATGATCACATGCCAAAATTTGAATTGTTGCTCTTGTGTAACCACTCATCTCCCATGATGCCTTTCCTGCTTTTTTCATAAATATAAAATGCGAAACGTGTGAAGTAGTAAATGGTCAGTATTGCCCAACATTGCTACAGAAAGGAATGTAGAAGCTAAAATCGTTCATTGGACATATTTGTTGATTTCAATATCCTTTTTTAATCATATTTGATCTCTGAAATAGGTATCAAAGGAAAAAAAAACAATATACACATACACGGAAGTTATCTCACATAGATGTCTTTTAATAACTCTAGTGTAAATAATAATAGCAAGTCTTAAAGTGAACCTTTACGCGTTTCACAAAAAATCACATTAGTATGCACCTCTGCATGCTGATATGAAATCATTTTACATTTATTAGTTAAATAAACATATTTTTCTTTTGTTTACAATTACTGTTTTTTCACTTCCTGGTCCTCTTAGGCATTAGTGATGTAGCCCATGCCTGGGAGATGCATCCTGGGAAGGTTAAATCACAGTGCATTGCTGGGATATCTTATCTGTAAACTGCAAAATCTCACAAGATCTCAGGGAAAAGCATTTCCCACCCCTGAGATGATGTTCATGGTCACATGTCCTAGTCACATGTGCCAGAGTTACAGGAAGAAAAGGGAGATGGATTAATCTTCCCTTAGTAAAACTGGCCACCATGAGAAGAATGAGAAGAAAAGGAAACATATGGTATGCAAGGAATAAAAAGCCTGCAATTATCTAGAAGTATCTGTCTGATTGCAATTACTAAACATTCCTAAAGGTGCCTTTGTTGTCATTTTAAAGATAAGGGTAAAGTCTCTCTTTAAATTACACAATTCTCAGTATTTTTTTTTTGCAAAGGATCAAACTGACTGTAAACTTGGTGATTTCCAGCACAATCTCAGTCAACCATTCAAACCCATTTTTACTAAACCATTGTACTAAAATTCATAACAACAAAAGCACCTTTAGTTTAGGATTTTGTACAACTCTGTAGGATACCACATCACACTGTACTGGCATGTGTATGGATAATTGTGCCAATAATCCCTACATCAACACATTCAGTTCGACACTACAAAGCATTAATTCCATGACTGTACAGTATATATTTAATTGCACCTTTTTATGAAAAAACCCACACTTAAGCTAATATCTATTCACCAAGTGCTCATTATTAATTAAAATAACTTATTTGTACACTTCAATGAAAACACCATATAAATCAAGTTAGAATTAGGAACATAGATAAATGAAATTCCTTACCAACAAAGAGATTCCATTCAACGTCCAAATCAGCCTGATTAGCCAAGCAGCCTTTCATCACATTGAGACAGTAGTTGTGACAAGGTTTCAGTGTGGGAAGTCCACGACAGTACGGACAGTAGAGCATCTTCAGGAGTGCCCGGGTACACCCTGCATTTGGGCTGAGCTGTAGAAACAGACATGGTTTAGAAACTGTAGCTCTGACTGACAGAATAAATTACTAATGGGTTATTCACAAAAGGGTGAAGAGTTTGGAGAAGGCAGGAGAAGGGAACAATCTAGGGCAACATAGCTGATTTAGAAAATGTCTCCAATTCAGCTCACTGTCCAGCTCAGCTATGTTGTCCTAGATTGTTCACTTCTTCTGCCTTCTACAAACTCTTCACCCTTTTGTGAATAACCCTGTAAGTTTAAAAAACTGAGCAACTCCATTTTTGTTTGTAAAAACATTAATTAAATATTGAATTTGCTCTATTTAAGGCTGCCGCACCTCGCTTAACCTTCCAGACAGAGCTGAACTGTGTGACAGAGCTGGATGGACATAAACACAACCCCTTTAGCAAGTAAAACAAGTGCTCTTTATGTATTTCACATATGTATTTAGCTGTTTGCATGGAGTTTATCTTTAACTATGGATTCAACTTCTTTCTAATATATAGTCAGAATGCATTTTATCAAACAGCTCTGATTTATAACTGAGCTGACTGCATCCTCACCATTTCCCCCTGCTCATTTTCTCTGATATACTAAAATGCTTCACTGCCCTAGGAGCTTGAAAAGCAGTAGGATAGTAGAGTATCTGTCTCCATCAGTGCTCCAAAATACCCAAATAAAGCAGCATTTACAAATGCAGTCATACTTCATTTTGAAGACAGCCGACTGACAAATAAAAAAAGTCTAGATATTTCAAGATATCAACTTTTTTAAAACAATAATTGTGCTGAATCATACAGACGTAAGTCTACATTAACACCTGCTTAAGCATTTACAGGTGATTTTGGAATGGGTTTTTTGGGGGAGATTTTGGGCATTTTGTTTAGTCATACCCAGGCTTGAGCATTTTTGTTTTATCCAATGGAAAACTAAGTACTAGAATAAGGAAATGGTTGTTTAGCCTTTTTGCTAATTTTGAGGCCTTTTTCAGGCGCTTCTTTTGAATTCTTTGGAGTCAAAATGGCCCATTCTGCTTCAAAAGTAGCTCATGTACCATTTTGAGCTTCAGGTGTTGAGCTACATACATCTAAGCGCTCACTTGTGTAAAAGCACAATTTAAAATTATGGCATTTTGGTCGCTGTGCATTTTGGAGCTTTGGACATCAAGCTACAAAATGCCCAGGTGTGAATAAGTGCTAATACTGTGCTCTGTGTGGATAATGCACGTCATAGAGAAGTTCCAAGACACGTGGTGCTTATTGTGAAGTCAACTTCAGAGTTACAGAGTGTGAGCATGCTTCACTTTTTAATTTTAGGGAGAACCATGGCAAAAGTTGGACTGTCATGTAATCTAAACATGTGAAGACTGTGCCATGTGAAAAATTAATCTCTTTCATAATTGTTACTGAAAACTAATCATTTTCAAGTTGAACAACAAGACCAAAACCTTTGTGCGGGTTTATACACATAAATTAGCACTCTTATTCTTTAAGTTGTCACGTTGAGTACAGGTGTCACATTTGGGGAATTTGTTGAAGATTAGGGGAATATGTTTAATCCAAATAAAAATAAATAAACTATTAGAGTTTAAAAAAAAAAAAGTTTGTAGAATCAACCCCTCCAGACGGTAACTGGTAAACACTGATTGGAGATGTCCAGTCCCACATATTTGGGCACCTCTTTTTTGTCTCTGGATGGATGTCATGTACAGTATATCTTATACAAAATAAACATTACTTTAGTCCAGATAAATCTAGTTCAATCATGGGTCAAACATCTGTGCATGCCATTATGTGTGAACTTTTGTTCACAAAAACTACTTGTGTTTTTTTCTTCCTGTTTCAAAAAACAAGTTTCACAGTATTGTTCACCAAGCCAATACGTCAGTTCACCCTTTTTTCTAGTTCCCTATTTTCCAAACATTTACTAAACAATTTCAGCCATATTTACCATTAAGTTTTTTAAATATTCCACATGCATAAAGCAGAAAATATGGACTTTAAAATTTTTAAAAGAAAGTGTATATCACCAGCACACTATGGACGCATACCATATAGTCAAAATTTATTAATTTAATTAATCACACACAATAAGTACTAGTGCGCAGGGTGTCTTTTTCATGCATGTAAAAAGTGTGAAGAACATAGATCAAATACTTAAAATAAACATTCACCAATCAAACACAGTAAAGATACTGTAGATTACTACCCAACTTCTGATGTCACAATGTTGCCAAAAAATGCCAAAAATAGCAAACAATGTATGCATATTCAAGTCAATCATATTTATGCCATAACAAACATAGCTATACAAACAACATATTACCTAAATTTGCATTTCTAACCGCCTCCTGCATGCCATAATGCCTTTAGGTCCTGTATTGAAGAGCCACAAAATCAGACCAACCTGTCTGATTAGAGGATCACCATAAAACCTAGAATGTGATCAATGTCCCAGCTGCTAAGAAGTCATACACATGCCTTGGAGTGAGGAGCCCACCACTATATTTAGGTGCAGCTTGCAGCATGCACAGCCCGACCACCCGCACCTTGTGATGCTGGACTATCAGTTGTCACTACTGCAAACCAGTAACATAGAAAGAGAAGCAGAGTAAAAGGTATGTGTGCTCTGCCATCCCAGGAGGGAGGGGAAGGGGCATATACAAGAGAGCCAAATGCTCTAAGAAGGGACAAGGGTGCAAAAGGGTGTGTGAAAGGAAAAACATGAAAGAAGGAATACCAAAGGTGCAAAGAGAAAAGGAAGGGGAAAAAGTAAGATAGGAGGGGTAAAGATGGAGGGGGGAGGAAAGTAAGGAGAAAATAATACTGAGATAAAGAAAAAAAGTTTAAAAAATAATGTAAACTTCAGTACCCAATCAACAAGGAAATATACTAGCAAATATACCTTGAAATATACTAGCAGGGTATTGCTTTAAAAATTAACAGCAAAAAAATACAATCCAAGATAATATCTCAAAATTGGAGTTAGTTTCCAAGCTGAAAATAATAGAAACAGTTTAAATACACTGAAATGTTTATGTACATTATTATACACAGGAAAGGCCCTACAGCGTGCTCGTTGCCGAGGCGTTTTTTGCTCACTTGTTATAATCCACATTTTAGGCCTGAAAATTACTTAAAGCCCTTAAGAGTGCTGAAAGACCTTATAAAATAAAATGGTGGCAGTGACATATTTTTTACATCGCGTGATATTAGTGCAACTATTTATGAAACCCAACATTTGTGTAAAAAATACACTGAAGTCAATGTTAATGCCAAAAAACACAATATAATACCCATTGTTTCATAACATATAAAATATGAGGTTTTGACAAGTAAATAGACACCCAACATGCCCAGGTTAAAAATTGTGTGCATTATTATTTATTTTCTTTAATTTTCTTTAAAACTTGTTTTACTTAAATGAATTGCCCCAATGTGATAGTACAAGTGATCTGTACAAAACAAGAATCGCCTGCAGACATGAATACATTTGTTGGTACCCTTGCACAAAAAAGAAACCACAATTTTCTCTGAGGTATCTTGAAACTGACCAAAGTCATTGCCATTCATCATTGTTTACTTCATAATAAACAAAACAGAAATCAAACCTTGCTTTTGATTTTTTATTCAGCAGAATGATTTAAATAATAAAACCGTGGCATGGATAAAAATGATGGTACCCTTAGGGCTTGTTCACACCATAAACAGTGTGTTCCAGAGCAGTGGGTTGCTGTATCGTATCGCGGCTGGCTTCCTGCATTCAGGGGCGCCAGGGGGCGTGGTCGTGCATTGCAGTCAATGGCACAACAGCCACACACCTCACCAGCAGTGCGATCACCCACACCAGAATGTGTGGCACATCAGTCCCTGTGTTCCGGGCCGGTACGATCTAAAAAAATGCTGCAAGCACTATTTTTTCAGATCACACTGGACCAGAATGCAGCAACTGATGTGCCATGCATTCTGGTGCGGGCAATCGCACTGATGGCGGGGGGTGTGGCTGCAGTGCCATTGACTTCAGTGAGGCAATAAGCAATAATGTATTCCTTTATTTGCTTTACTAACATAACATACCAAAGCCATGCAGGTATACTGTATATAAGACAAATGGTTTTAATTTAATCACTTTTCAGGAGGAATGAAGCACTGTTTCAATGAGCTGTAATACTGATACCAACAAATTTGTCAACGTTTGTATCACTGCACTCACTCCTCAAGAGCCATAATCACAGGGCATCTTTTAATTAACACAAAATAACAGTAAATGTTAGTATATGGACTACTACAAGACATAGCATGTTTTATTGCAACCAAATTGGTAACAATATTTGTAGCTGTAGCAATTTACGAATATAATTAACCACATGACTTCCCAGACCCTTTTCTCCCTAAATCCTCTCGCATATTTTTTTCATTTCGGCGATGTCTCAGTTCCATACATTATATTTTTTTATGTTTTGTAGTCCACTGTAATATAGATTATTATACATTTTTAGGGCATACAGTGCTTTAATTTGGTAGCAAATTTGGTCACATATTTTTATTTCCTTGTTTTTTATTTGGGATAAATAGGAAAAAAGCAAAACATTAAATTTTTACTAATGCAAAGTTTCCATAATTAGTGCACCCCATACTTTACCCCAAAATACAATCAACAAAGTCAAATGATTAAAATATTACATCATAGTGACTTTTTAAGTGATGTAGCAGTTAAAAGTATGTTTTACTTTAGGAGAGCTTTACTCTTCTTTTGATGCTACATTACAACGTAAGCAGGGGGAAACAAAACTGAGAGTTGTGGACTAAAAACAATAGGCATAGAAAATGTCTAAAGGGAAGAGTGTGTGTGCTTTTCTGCTGTGCCATAGAGAAACAATGGCTACATCTGAACTGTGTCTGAGTGTGTCCCTATTATGGAAAATTGCTATGTGCTTTAAAATAGCATTTCAGCCAAAACGTAATTCTGGATTGTTCAGGGAAGACCTAGAACCTCTCTTTATTTGTTGTTGCT